TATTAATCCCACAGCGGGGTGTCACAGCAGCTTAGGCATCAGCACAAATGTGTAAGAACATCAGTGGAAAATATAAATAAACTAAAATATATATATATTTACTGTAGATAATGTACAGATTCCTCCATGTGTAGAAGAGTAACTAAGAGCATTACCAGTTCTGTTCTACTCATTTGTCACCTGCAGTCAGATGTGGGTATTAACTTCAAATAAAATACATTTGAGCAATTATTTCCTGTCCACCGTTCTGACAGCTAATCCCGCTTGAATAATACCTCAGGTGAAGTGTGGCCGAACAGCAGCGACAGAGACATGCGACTTATTATGCAATGTGAAGGACATGCAGGAGGGACTGACTGAAGTATAGTCAGGAGAAGAATGTGAACAAGCGGATGGAAACAAACTCTTTATGATCCATATGTCTTTTAGTGCGAGCTAATCAATGGTCAAACGCAATTGACCACTGACCACCATTGGCATTTCCACCTCCAGCAGCGGAGCTCTGAAAGGAAATTGAACCACGTTTCTGCCACGCACCCACTGAGGCATAAGCCTTCTTACTCCAACTTCCTGTCTGATCAATGTGAGAGACAATGACTCAACAGGTGCGACAGACAGGAGCCCAGCGGCAGCTTTCTTCCCTGCCGCTAGGCCCAATTAGCACCCGCGGCTAAGGAACAAAGAGGCGACATTTCATTTCAGCAGAGTGCCAGTTTAAGGCCTCTTCTCTCAACCTCAGCCTCTTTTCTTTCTGTCTCTTACTGCTGACATCTTTAAAGGATCATCCCTGGCTCCATCATATTCTATTAGATTGGGTCGATGCCTTGTGTTCCAAGTGGCAGGGGTGTTAAAAACATGGGGTGTTGATGAATTCATTGCATGTGACTGGACTTGCTTTCTTTGTGTGCAGGTTTTGGCTAATGAAACCCCCTGAAGGTCTGACAAAAGGCAAAGACATTTTTCAGGAATCAGTCCATGCTCCGGTTGCAGGCTGGATTTTCTAACGAAATTATGCTCGAGTGCTGCCATCCCAGATAACTTTTTAACTTGGAACGAAGAGATCTAGTGTAGCAGAAATGCATTAAAAAGACTGACATTGTTTCCTCTGCAGTACCTGATGTTCACCGTTGCAAACACACAAACAGTAATTATGTGAAGAGTCTCTTTCTCCTCTCCATCGTCTCTGTGCAGCTACAACCTCTTCATACTTAATGTTTTTTTGGACATTATTTCGGCTTAATATTAGCACATTAACAACACCAGTGGAATTTCCCTTCAAATAAAGCTTCAAACACCTATCTTGAAACCATGTTCAGCCATATATAGCTGGATCTGACCAGCTGGTTGAGAACCACACTGGCTGAACACATGTAAAGAATTATGGACAGCTTGCAATGAATTTTAAATATATAGTTTTCCTTTGGGTTTCACTTGTTTGCATTTGCTGTAAGAGTAATTTATGTAAACAGAAAAAGAAGCAAAATTACGCTGACAAATGCAGCTCACAAACGTGAAGGTACATTTTTAACAGCAGGTTTAAAAGGTTGAGATGTTAGTAAGTTATCCATACTACCATAGTTACTTTAACTTTAGTTATTTAGCTATTACAAGAAGATTCACCTCTGGGTTGGTTCACCAAGGACCCAAAGCCAGTAACTACAAACAGATTTAAAAGCAAAACCTGTGAACACAATGGATTCTACAGTAGATGACCTATCATCTTTTATTTTATTTTTTTTTTGGAGTAGCTTGTAATGAATAACAACTTAAACTCAGTAGGGTTTGGCCGTGTTTCCTGCATTTTCGATTAGATCTACTTTAAATGTAATAGTTTTTGTTTATATGTTACAAGCTGTTCAACTAGCACAGTTCAAGTAATATTCTGACTTTGTATAGATTCATAAATGCCCTTCTCACATCACATGCTGTGCTTTTGTGGTGTTAGATATGGATGAATGCTGCTTAAGAGCAAAAAGGGAAAGTAGCTCTCTTTACTTCCTAATAAAGAATATATTGTGGTTAAATGATTAAATAATGCTAACACACACACACACACACACACACACACACACACACACACACACACACACACAGACACACAAAGTTTTCAGGGCCTGTTGGTCACATTATTGAACCCAACCTTAATAAAATGTTTGTGTCTCACATTGCCATTCAACATTGGACGACAATGGTGGTGAAACCTCTGATAAGGCGAATACAAAGTGTACAATATAAAATACAATGCATTTAAATACACTATGGGGTCACACCTAATAGGAAAATGAGCACCACAGGTGGACACAAATGGGCTTGGTCTGCTTTAGCCATGCTGAGCCGAGCTGAGCCGTGATGGCATGCATGTCCACTACCGTCTCACAGCAGGAGATAACTGCACTGTGGCTCCGATTTTTAGCAGCATTCACCATCCTAGCAGCTCAACTCTAAATGTGTTTGTGCTGGATGGACACTCGTCTTTTATTCCTGTCTGTGCTTTCAAATATCAGCCTTGTTTCACTGTTCACAAATCACTTTCACTCATATTGAAGTCGTGTTAGGTAACTGCTGATGAAAACGGAATCTTTCCTGCTTCTTCACACTGAAAACTGGTAAACCTGCATGATGCTTTCATTACATAGATGTTGTAGAAAGGGCAAACTCATAACAAAAGGTCCAGTTTATGCTCCACCAGCTTCACTGTAAAAATCCATACTGACTACATCTGTTATAAGATACGACAACAGAAAAATCAAAAATGCAGCTAACGTTCCTAAAACTAGCAGCTAAAAACAAATACTGAATACAAATGACACTAAATATTTGATCTAAACATAAAGTGAGCCACAAATATTCTGTCCATGAAGGTATTTTTAGCTACAGTCACAAATGCTGATGGGATTCTGAATGTGGTTTTCCTCATAGTTTAAGCTACACCACGGCTTTTCGGGGAGCTTAATTATGATCAGAAATTACAGATACAGCATTTACACAGCACTTGATTTATTTATTATTATTTCTATCTTTAAAAAAAATAATAATAAATAGGAATAGGAGAATAAAAGTATCAGCTGCTGCCTGCTTCCAGCTCTGCACAGGGTTAGCTTTGTTCTGTTCTGTTTTTGTAACACTGGTGATGAGAAAGTTTGTTTTTTTCTGATCTTTGAGTTAAAGGAACAGCGTGCAGGTGTCTTTATTAAGGTGAACTAAAGAACTGCAGTCATGTGTGAATCATTCATCAATAAAGACAATGCAGAAAAACAGAATTGCACTGCTAAATAGCATACTGTCATATTAGAAAGTCACTGTTTTCGTGGGAGCTCATGTCTTATTAAGAGGAGAAAAGCTCAGCCTTGCACTGGTTGTCCAGCCTTTGTGACACAACCTGCAAATTCCAGTTTCAGCTCACTATAGGAAAAGTTTAATCAGTGGGTGTCGGTGGTACTGTCCTTAAATAAAACAGGCCTAATTAACGAGCTATACAGATTCTACGTTATGTGGTAAATAGTAAAAAAGCTGAAAAAAATTATAATAGTCTTGCATGAGAGTGTATTTAAAAAGGATCTATCACATGTTACATTCTATTCTGAGCATCTGAACACTTCTTATTGGTCAGATTTTTATGCCTCTTCTGTTAATATAGTGAACATTTATTTACCATTAAAGCTGTGTGTTTAAGAATGCATGTGAACAAGCAGTTAAGGGATCTGTAAAGAGAAATGCCTCATGACTGGCAGTTTTAAATAATAGCAAGCAGGCACTCCTTCCCTATTGATTATGTATTCACCATCATAAACCATGACTTAATATCCTGCCTCGCCACCATAGGAGCTTTCACCAAGTATTGGTATTGATATCATTCATTCTGCTGTTGGCTTGATCTGGTAAAGGGCAGAGACCAAATGCTGTTTTATTCCTCACCTATCAGGCACCTCCAACACAACACCAAGGTAAACAACCCCACCTTATTGTGCAGTCCAGTGAGAAAACACCTGTACTGAACCAGTGAGGATTAGAGTGTTGTTAGAAAACATTTCTACAGCATGAATCATATTGGGTGAAGATTAACATGCATTATTTGTTGGTGCAAAGTAATTAAATGTGTTTGCTCAAGTACTGTCCTTATGTAGAGTATGAGGAACTCTATTTACTTCAGAATTTCCATTTATTTTATGCGACATTTCAGAGAGAAATATTGTGCTTTCTACTCAAACAGCTTTAGTTACTTTTACAATAAAGACTTTACACGATGAATAATATAACAAGCTTTTAAAATACAGCACATACGTGAAGATTAAATCAGTGCTTTCTAACCTTTGTGACTATGTCTAATAGCCCCACTAAACAGAGTTTATTCCCTCAAAGCTTTTAATGCTGAGATTAGCACAAAACTAAAAACAGATGTGTCAGAACTTTCACCCTTCTTTCCTCTACTATTGCACATGTTTGGAGCCATCAGGTTTATCTGCTGTCCTTGTATATACACCATAGTAACACTAAGATGCTGCTGACACACTGATGTTTCAAGATTAATAATCTAACGCCATCATATATGATAATAAATCAGCAAGAGGGACCAAACCAGTACTTTTACTTACAATCAGAAGCAGTTTTAACGCTGGGTATTTTTTACATTTTAATTAAGTAATTTGACTTTGTGTTTTGGTGCATAACAGACATTTTTGAACCACAGTAAGTACAGAAAATATGAAAATATCAAAAGTATTAGAAATATTGACAATGTGCAGGGATGTGCAAATTATACTTATATACTTGGATTACGTTTTATTGCTAGGACTTCTAGTAGAATAGAAGTTAGAAGTCTTTTGCATGTGATGGAGTACTTCTACATTGTTGTATTTCTAGTTTTACTAAAGGATCTGAATACTTTTTTCCCTTCAGGTATTACTGTAAGGAGTCTGTCAAAATGCTAGTGCGCATGCGTCGTCCATAAAGCGCTATCTATGGTGGATAACAGGGACGAGAACGAGCCTCATTTTGGCACATTGTTTATAATTTACTGCCATAATTTACACCAGATAAATAAAACACACAGCTAACAGTCCAACAGCGAACCCGCGTCGCTAAATTAATGGCAAACAACACATTGACAGTGACGATAATTTCTGATTTTTGCTCTCAGCCCACCGACGAAGCAGGAAGACGGCACCGCAGATAAACATGAAGCAACCAGGAAGTGTTCCAGCAATTTAACCGTTGCTACGAGTGATGTCTGCTCTGACTCTGCTGGTCTCCACCCTGGGAAAAGCGACTGGGCTCCTCACTATCCTGGTTCTTGTCATTGCAGCTGTCCTCAGTTTTTTCGACGACCCGGTTCCGGCTAAATACTCGAGGTAAGGAGCAACGAAGAGCTAAGCTAGCATAAATGAATGCTAAACTCGACATTTACACTTCGTGCACTCGGTTACACGTGTCGTAAAGATTGCTAAACTCACTTTATAGTTAGCAATAATGGTCCTAGGCTGATGTTGACCACTTTACTCGAGGATATTAGAAAGTCAAGCCAAACTCCGTTGGGAAATTCGTTGATTTAAGGTTCTCCTACTTTTTGGCAAACGTACTCACCTTGCAGCACACTATTAGCACTCATTTCGAAACTGCTTTCATCTTCTGATGAATTCGTCTTACGTTTTACCCACTTAACCTAAGTTTTTATTAGTTTGTTTTACACTTTATTGCTCAGTTTTGCACAGCGTTCCTCACATTAGCACACCTGCATGAAACGCACGACGGTTTGTTTGCTTTACCTGTGGACATGCGCAGTGCTGACAGGGCGTTTGCTTTGGCACACAGCATGGCCGAGGACATGAAGACCTTGGAGGAGAACTTCAGGCAGCAGAACAGGAGCTGTTTTATCCTGGGTGCCTCTGGGGAAACGGGCAAGGTGTTGCTTCAGGAGCTGCTGGAGCGAAACATCTTCTCCAAGATAACTCTGATTGGAAGGAGGAAGCTCACCTTTGAGGGCAAAGCGTATGAAAACGTGGTTAGTGTTTTAGTGCTGTAGTCAGCTGACAGCTTTTGTGATCAATGACTTTATTCCATTTTGCTTGACACTGCTGTTTTTTTTAATGCTTCCAGGCACAAGAGGTGGTTGACTTTGAGAAGCTTGATGAGCATGCTGCTGCCTTCCAGGGCCATGACGTTGGATACTGCTGTCTGGGAACAACCAGAGCGAAAGCAGGAGCTGTGAGTTCACTTAATTATGGCAAGCTGCTTTAATATTTAATAGCTGGCCTGGATGTCCAAAACATTTCACACATCTGCATTGTTATTGTGCCTAGTCGTAGAGATGACTGGTGTTTTTACGTGTGCGAGGTTTTGCACTACAGATATCTACAATTCATTGGCAGATTTCTTCCAATTTGCATAATAGATAAGTGCAGCTGAATTGTGATGAGCTGTAATTCCAGTTTCAGATCCCCACAGTGAAACTCAAACCACTCTCAATTCTAATTCAAGATATCCACATTGTCCCTGTTAGATATCTTAATTTCCCACAAACTGGAATCCTGTCTTGGCCAAATGTTATTACAGATACCTTGAATTAGAATTTCAGTTGTTTTAGTGTCCTTTCAGAACAGTCTGAGGTCTAATTTAGAGTAATATTAAACCAAACGTCTCTTATGAACTAAACTAACATTCTCCACAAGCTCCCTGCTCCTGAGTTATTTCTCTTTAATGCCATTTTCAAATAAGGTTATCCACCACAGCAGCCATGCAAATGTTTTTTCTTTGTCACATGAGCAACAACGTGCATGACGACTAGTTATGACACTTGAGATATGTGCAATTATTATTTAGCTAGTTCCAACTGAATTACAGTGGTCTATAACTGTTTGACCAGTCAGAATGACATCATCACTGGGTTAAACTGGCCACAGTAGAGGTATGAAGAGTCAAAATAAAGTTGTTCAAATCTGTAATGTTAGTTCCAGATAGTTAAACAGCTAATAAATATTAGAACAGCTAGCCATATCGAATCAAATGTGGCAAGTGGGCAGTGAATTAGCTTGGATTTTACTGTTTGCTTTGCTTTGTCTCTGTTGGGATTTGATGGTATTATTAGCAGCAGCAATGACTAAGCAATTTCGTCTCCAGCAATGGCCGACATTTCCACTAGAGCACAACTAGTGAACCGGTCGTACTCGTTGATAGTGGCCCATCACTGATTAATTATCAGTATGTAGGTCAGAGTACTATGCTTGAGGTTATAAAGAAGCAGCAATAAGATTACACGGTCAGCTCTGGACATATCATGGTCACAGCTCTTTAAAAAACTGAATCATTGTATTTGTGTTGTTTTTTTTTTAAAAAATGAATATAATATTGTGTGAAATAAAAGTAGACTTTTAAAGCTACTGATATCAATCTCAGTATTTCCCTGCTTTATCCTGGATGAGCATTTGCTCATGCAGCACATTTGATTTCCATAAATCTGTAAATGAAATGGCAAAGCAGCAGCAATGTTAAAGTGTTTGCATTTACACTTATAGATGTCCAGTGTGAAAAAAAAAATTAACCAGTAATAATAACAATCAACAAATTAACAATGTAAACATGCCAATCTCATTTTTTGTCCTGTTTAGTCCAGTGTGTTTTGGTCATTTAGATGTTCTTTGGTATTAAGATCTGACAGATTTAAATAGATTTCAACTTGTTGCTGCTCATTCAGACCTAACAGTAAAATGTGATACCTCAGTGTGATTATTTTATCACAGTACGTCAGGAAAGAAGAAATACAAAATCATTCTGACTATTGAAAAATTGTATTCTGTATTTATTCACATGATTTTGTTGATTCTTTGTTTTGAAATGAGCTGGTTTACACAGTTTGATAAAATATTTACACACACACACACAGTAGTAGAGACAGTTAGTGTTACCAAAATGTAATCAAAGCTTTTTTTTGTTTTGTTTTTTTCAACATTATTGCTCTAATTTCAGTTGCTGTGCAATCCCTGTCTCATGTGCAATATCGGGTCTTCTGGAGCTGATCTTGGTTGTAGATATTATACTATAGTAGTTGCCATAGTCACTTGTGTATTGTTTTTATTATTATGTCTATTATGTTTGTATTTTCAATGCACCTTAACATGGCAGCTATCTTAAATTTCGTCATGCACCATGTTTGATGACAATAAAGCATTCTGTTCTATTCTATTCTATTCTAGGATGGATTCGTCCGAGTCGATCGTGACTACGTTCTAAAATCAGCCGAGCTCGCCAAGGCAGGAGGCAGCTCACAGTTTCACCTGCAGTCGTCCAGAGGAGCCGATAAAGGCAGCAGCTTTCTCTATCTCCAAGTCAAGGTCTTTCATTTATTCACACATGTATATATACATATACATATACTCTGCTGCCTCATAATCAGGTCATCTTGTTCTTCTCAACCAAAGTTTGTCTGTGTCTCACCATGAATGGATTTCTTTTCAGGGACAAGTGGAAGCAGATATCGAGGCATTGGGTTTTGACAGATACGCCATTTACAGACCAGGGTGAGTGGTTTCAGTTATCAGTACCTTTGTGTGATACATTTGAATGTTTAAGATATGGAGGTAAAAACTGAACCCAAATTAAAAGTAGTACCACGTAAACAGACAGAATGACATCCTGGCAGCTCGGCTGCAGACAAATGTTTGCACAGGAAATTTGGTTGAAGCTTGAAAATAAACATCCTGTTGCAATCTAACTGTTTTGTTGTTAATCATGTGGAATTATACAACATGGATTTACTCTGAAAACACACTGGCTGCTTTGAGATGAGCAGACAAAGAAATCTGGGCAGATGCTCTCATTCAATCATAGCTGAAGGAGAAGAGGAGTGCAAACACTGCATTTCAAAGACCGTGATTGAGTCTGAATTCCTCTGGGGCAGTTCAACACAGATCCAGACACTTGTGATGCAATGTGACGTTCATTGTATTTTTTATTATAATAGGGAAACAGGGATAGATCGATTATCGTACCTGATATCTGACATTTTTCTGAATAGCAGTCGCGTTGTTTTTATTGACTGATTATTGGTAAATTAAATGCGCTACTTCAGGTCCGATGCAGCCTCCTCTCTCTATCTGTTGTCACTCTGTGGTCTCAGAAATGTCTCAAGCAGAAACTGAACAAGAAACACAAGCTGTTGCCACAAATGAGGAAATCAGCTGCTCTCACAGGCTACGCTAGCGGCTAAGTTAGAAGGAAGCCACAAATGACCCTGAAGCAGAGTCTGGGAGATAATAATTAATAATGCTTTAAGATCTGGACCTTAGTGGGTAATAAAAGTGATAGAACAGGAAAGATTAAGAAAATAGAGACGTAACTGTTGGAGACAAATAGATCAATCTCAGAGGATCCCACATTAACAGAGGAGAGCATCCTGATTTAATTACTTCTATTTTACATATTCAATTATAGTCAGCCTGATTAAATAAAGGAGGCTAGTTATGAATAATTTTGAACTGATTGTCTTCTAAAGTCATTCCAGTGTGAAATTTTGAGAATCAGTGATAAAGTGGAGGAAAAATAAAAGTCAAATAATCTCCATGAAGTGATTTTTTTCTGATTAAATAACCAGATCAAACCCCTGCAACCTCTAAATCCTACCTTTTGTAATTTTCTCCGGCAGGGTTTTGCTGGTGGACCGGCAGGAGAGTCGACCCGCCGAGTGGCTGACGAGGAAGTTCTTCGGCGTCTTTTCTTCCAAGACCATGTCCGTCCCGGTTGAAGCGGTGGCAAAAGCAATGGTGTCCAACACCGTGCTTCAGCCGGAGCAGAAGACGGAGATCCTGGAGAACAAAGCCATCGCCACCATGGGAAAAAGTGAAAAGAAATAAGAGAGCAGGAAAATGTGTTAGAGGTGAGAAGAACATCACAGACTTCCACTGGGCTGACACTTCAGTCACATTGTGGTAGTCATCCACGGTTTTATTTAAGGAGTATTTTGGTAGTCACGGTCTTAAAGTTAATGTAAATGTATCCTTGTAAGAGATTTTAGTGGTATCTTGCACTCTTAGATTGCACACATCCAGAACAGATGTGTTTTTTTAATACACAATAAGTGCATTTATTTAGTTTCCCCACAAACCTTAAATATTGAGCTCAGATTTAAGGAGTAAAGTAACTTTCCCAAAATACATCAGTTCAAATTTCAGCAGCTTTCAGTGAAATATGTGGCTCAAAACTTCATTTTATCTTCTCTTTTCAGGTCATTCCAGCAGGTATACAAAGATGACTACATACTGCAATACCCATCATCATCATCATCATCATCATCATCATCATCATCATATCAAGTTTTTACAGTCCTGAAATTTTTCCATTAATTTTGCAGTTGTCAGAAACCTAGATGATCTTTCTGTAAACCTGCTGACTTATTTATGATGAAAACAGCATGTGATGCTATCAAATGTGTTTTCTCTTTGAACATCATTCAGGTTTGTTTTGCGTTCTGTTGTTTATTTGTGAATGTATTCATCAGGGAAGTATCGCCAAGTCTTCACCATTTGTGCTCTGACACACTGAATCACTGCCTTAATGTAAATGCTTGTGTTTATTGTACGCTAGATAATAATACTGGATGTTTTTAAACATGCTTATTAAATTATATGACATATTTAACCTTGCGTGTGTGTATTTAAATAAGGGAAACTTCCACTAGATTATCAATACGCTGTATACAAACCCAAGACCACAATATCTGCTGCATGTTTGTACACAATGTCTGAGCTTTGCCATATTAAAACATATATTAATTTTTGATTGAGCATTAGCTTTGAAATGCGAATACAATCCATGGACGACGTACATATCTAGAATACCAGCATTCATTGATAATGAATTTTGTTTTTGAAGCCAAACATTGGTCCTAGAATTCAAGTTACCAATTTATTTGATGATCTTGAGCAACGACATTAGTGAATGATCATGTTTTTGGTTAATTTTATTGCTTTTTAAGACTAAAAACCCCTTGAATGAGATAATGATGACAAATATCCAGAATATGATGCAGATTAACTTATGTTTGCTTGTAGGATAAAGATGTTTAGTGAAGGTTGTCAAACTTCAGCATCACTACACAATGATGTCACACTATTAGCCTGTGTTCCTGTGAATTATAGTTTCTATTTTATTTATTATTTTTATTATTTTTTGCTGTGTTTTGATGCATTTCATTGCTGGATCCAAAGCACTGTTTGTAATATTTAATTAATCTTGCCTTTTTCCCTCCCTGATCAAGCAGCGCCCTCTTGTGACTGAATGTGGTTTATACACATTGCACTCTTCGGCTCTGTGGACCTACAGATGGTTGACAAATTAAAGGAAAGGTTTGAACCTTTGACCCCTGCAGAGGAGGGATCCTGTGGTTCTGGTATACTGTGGGGGGCATTTTACTGCCATTGTTTGTGTCCACTTGTCCCATTAGAGAAAA